GCTCGGGGAAGATGGCCAGGATCACGGCCGAGCCCCCGAAGAGGGCCGGCAAGGCCCAGGCCTTGCCTTTGATGGACGGGGCACACAGCGAAGGGCCCCAACCGACAGGAGTTGAAGTGGCTGTGGTTGTCAAACATCAACCCTGGTAACTGGAAACATGGACCAAAGCCTGCGGTTTGCCCCTCCTGCTTCTTTTTTAGCCACACCCATATGGCTGTGGGTCAAAAAATGGTTTTCCCAAAATGGCTTGCCCTGGTAAATGGAATGGACTCCAACCCAATTGGTCCCCTGGTGGTTTAATTTTGACCCCCACCCAATTGAATCATTTTTTGAAAGGGCCAAAAGGCAATGAGCGTGTACATGGAAGCGAGACGAAAAATGGCAACGAGCTCGACTTTCCGCCGATTGAAACTGGAATAGCGCTTCCATTCTGGCTAACGCTTATACCACCTGGCTGATGCTTCAAACTGGCGATCCAACTGAAGAGGCTACATCAGGGTACACCCCTAAACCCTAAGCGCAACCCAAACCCTAAAGACCTACAACACCTAGAAGTCAGTGTCAAATTGATGTTCATATTTGATGATGCTAAGCAGCTCGGTCGGCATGATTCCCTGCTCTCAGAATCTCCTGCCTAAAATCCGCCCGTTCCAAATGGCACAACCCCAGACACCCTGTGCACGCACCGAGACCACCCCAAAACCTTAACGCACCAGAAATCAACTCCATCCGCGGATTCTCACAGTTACCCAAATCATTTGGCTGCACAAGCAGAATGCACCACCCTTAATCTTTGGCCCATTCTCGCCCCGTCCCGCGGGCCAGGGCCCAAGCTTGTCGGGCTTTCTTCGGCCATGGCACCGGGCGTCTTTTGTGTGAGATTAGTGTAATACCACAAGTTCAATCTCCGCATCTGCGCTCTGTGCGTGCGCGCGCGCTATCGCAGCAGTCTGGCATGAACCTGAAGTGGTACAGAAAAGCTGCATTTCGGACCTGCGAAAAGGTGCAACCACTGCAGATTGAGGTAGTGACTGCGGGCAAGACAAGCGAAAGCTGGAGCCCAAAGCTTCCAGACTGTTGACTGATTCCCATTCTCTGCCCTTAGACGGGATGTCAACCTGTTGTCCACTTCAGACACTACCCCACCCTGCTTGAGCTCACAAGTGAAAACAAGTGTGCCATATACCGTTAAAAAAAACGCCCCAAAAGGGGCATGTAGGATTTGTTGTGAGACTCCCAAGGAGTGGTGCGCAGCTGTCAGAGCTGTCAAGCTTCACTCATGGCAATCACGCCAAAAAATGCCGGCCATCGTGACAAGGATCCACATCAAAGTCACGAGACAACAATCAAGGGCTTGATCCTGAATTTGACCTAGATGCAGGTACTAAGATGTACTATGTACTAGCTAGTAGACCCAACTGGTAGAATCAGTTCGAAACATCTCAAACCCAATCATACCGCCTGAAAAACCTTACCAAGGCCCACTAGGTCAAGGTATGCTTAAACCTGGGTGAATTCTAATACTCCACCAACCTGAACTCAGGTGGTTGGGGGGCTATTCCAACCACATAAACCACCATTTGGTGGGTGAATTCGGTGTGAGGTCGCTACAGTTCACCCAGCTAAGCGGAGAACCCCACTCCAAGCAGCCCATCCCAAGGCCACCCGATCAGGAGCCCTGCCTCCCCAGGTGAGCCCAGCCCCAAACCCGCAGCAGGCGAGGAGGTCGCCGCGCTTCACCCGGCCCTCCCGCACGGCCTCCAACTCGAAACCCGCGGAAACGAGGAGACGGGCCAAAAAAAACGGACCCCCCCCCCAACACAGAATATCATACCCATGGATAGTGGTTCCTTTTTCGGGGAGGTCCCTTGATGATATATATGTCTGTAAAAAACAAGAAGTAGAAGTTGTGGTAAGTTCCTTTAATAAAAAAGGTAGACAAAACTCCAGCAGAGAGGACGTCTCAATCCGACGCGTCTTTCTTTTGCCCGATGAGCCTCATCCAAGGCCAGCGGGATGGATGCCGCAGAGGTGTTGCCGTACTCGTCTAGGTTGCAAATGATTTTCTCCTTGCGGCTGCAAACTGGCCGTGGGTCAAAACCCCGTAGTGAACATCCCAATCCAACCACTAAAATAGGCTCTAAAATGGGTGGTGAATTCAACTACCCCAAAATGGTACCATTGGTGTTGACCGATAGCCAACTGCAGCCAGTCCGATCCGATCGACGGCTTAGAGACCATGTTGTCAACGAACAACATACTTTGGTCGCAGCATCTATGCAACCATGAACAAAACCATGGTTTGGTGGTATTTACAGAGGAATCATCATGCCAGGGTTTCTTAGGTGCATTTAGTTCGTCCATCCCCCGTACTAAACAAAGATGCAGGCGACCTTTGCAATGGCCCTCATCGAGGAACGAACTGGCAGCCACATTGGTCCATGGTTCTGCTTGCAGATGACCATGTTCACAGGGAAGTCCCGATAGGCGACATGTTTCAGCACCTTGCCCTCATCTCGAACATCTCTGCTGGGAGAACCAAATATTGCAGGCTGCTTCATGGCGAGAGCATGGCAACACTCTGGACACCCCCGCGTACGAAAAAACTCTGGACAAGATGTCGCGAAGTTGAACCATGTTGGATGCTTGGTCTGCACCGCCGCCCTTCAACATCCTGAACCCTAAGTTGGTACGTTGACTCCACCTCATGTGACGCTCAATGGTGCAGCTGGAATCTTTCTGCATGCTGGGATCGGACAAAGTGTTCCAGATAAATCAGTGGCCAAAGAGATGAGATAATCAAACCAGTGGCAACACGGTGAAACGTATGATTTCATCATGTCCATGCCTGCGACTCAACATCTGCAAAAACAAACTGCCCCGGATCCAAACAGTTCAAACATGTCACCTTCACCAAAACCGACATGCCAGCCGATCCGAGGCGATCCCCATCCCCATGACACCCAAAGAACCCGCCGCATCTGTCCTTCGGGATCTTCAGGCGCTTGGCAGCGGAGTCCATGATGCGGCGGTTGGCCTGGGCGCGTCCATTTCGCACCTGAGAAACCCTGGCAGGATTCCCCCGGCAGATACCAAGAAATCGTTGTTTCACATGGCTGTGGCTCCAAAAACCGGCACCAAAATGGAACCCTGGTAAGTGGAAACATGGACCAAAACCTGCGTAACCCCTCCTGTTTAATTTTGAGCCACACCCACATGGTCTCATAGGAGGCGCAGGATTCTGTACAGCTACAGTAGGAGCCATGATTTTAATGACACACCCCATCGCAATCAGGACCAATGACACATTTTATAGGATTGCAAGTCATCCTCACCCAATCAAAAGCCATCGATGATGCATGGTTATATAGCTCCTTCGCGCAATGGCAAGATCGCCACAAAACACATCCAAGGCTTCGAAGTCCGGTGTAACAAACCCACAGCGGGGACCGGTGGATGCCGCTAGCTGGCTATGGGGGATATCCGTTGGGTTGACCCAAGTGGATGCCGGATTTGAGGAAAGCCCCGCTCTCTTTGCTCGCCTGATGGAGTAGCAGCCAGTCCACCTGGCTAAGGCATGGGGCCCCGAGTGGCTTGCCATAACCTTGCTGGAGCCCAGTGGTTTGGTGGTGAACCCTATTTATTTCCTGGAACCAGAAATTCAAATCCAAAAAATCCTGAATTCAGTGTTTGGTTTGGTGAGCCCAGTGGTTTACTTGCTGCTAGGAAATGAGAAATGGAGTGACCCTAAGCAAAACCATCCCTTGCTGGTGTTTTCCTGTGAGGGGACCACCTTCCGGTTCATTCCCACATTCCCTAGAGCACCAGCAAGTAAGTGTGCTTTGGGAAGTTTCGAACTATGAACAAACCCAGGTGACGACACATGCTGACTTGGGCGTCTCTGTGTGTGTGTGTGTGTCTGGTCAAAACCGGGATTCGGATCCCCCCCAAAAAACAACAAAACGCTTTCCTTTTGGCTTCCCCAACCAAACTGAAAAGCTGCCCTCAAAGAAACATGCCAGACTTCGTCCCTGCAAAAAACAAAACGGACACTGGAGGAACCCCAGCCCAAAAAGCTTTAGAAAGGATCGTTACTCCCCCTACAGCTTCACATTATGACATCCCCAAAAGAAAACAATCATTATTGGAGGAAACAAAAACAAAAACGACAAAAAACATTGCTTGAGAGAGGACTCCCCCTTTTTTGGGGGCCCCCCTGACCTCCCTTTTTGGGGCTTCCCATGTGAGACTCCGCGTTCCAACTGAAGCCTCCTCCGCGGAGACATCATGCCGCTCCAGCAGCTTCCGCAGCGTCTGCGCGTGTCTCGGTTTGGGGGAACTTCGGAGGCCCCCGAAACGGAGCTCTCGACGTTTTTTTGGGGAAGCAACGGCGAAAAGGGTGGCCTTAAAGAAAAAAGACAGATCCGCCTCCTGACCAGTACATCCTGGATTTTGTGTTTTTCGCTTGGTTTTCCAGATTTCCAGTTGTTTTGTTTGTTTGCCTCAGGTTTCAGTGTTCGGCACAACACAAAGCAGCTCCCTGGCATCACAGTTCCGGGCACCCCTGTGGTCGCCAAAAGCAACCCAGCATGAAACTATGCACTGCGACCAAGGAATGATTCACGTGCTCAAAAAAAGCGACCAGCTCCCGGGTTCTTCGCTGCGTTGCGCTGCGCCCGAACTCTCTGGCTACAGACTACAGACCTTCCAAAACCGAAGGTCGCATTGCCCAGAGCCTCTGGAACTCGGCTGGTGGCAAAGCGGAAAACTTCTTTGCCTGGGCCGAGGGGCCGAGGGGCTGAGGGGCCGAGGGGCCGAGGGGCCGAGAGAGGGTCAGCCCTCTTTGGTCATTCACGCAGACCATGGCGTCTCTGCCTTCACGGAGTGAAGCCTTGTAAGGATTAGCTCACAAAGCTGGGCACTCCCAAGATCTGACGAGGTGCCGTTCATGCCCAGCTTCTTGTAGCTTGCTGATCCGGCTTCCTTGCCTGGGAGAAAAGGAAAGCATTCAGCCACGGCTGAGTGTGGAGAAGCATCTGGGACGCGGACCACCACCGAGAGAGATCGCCTCGTTGTCAGCCAAAACCCCCAGATGGCAAGCTCCTGGCATCTGCAAACGTGCGGAAGTTTCCAATGCCGGACTCCGGATCCAGCTGTTCAGGGCGCCCATATGCTCCAATCTGCTTTATAAGCCGCCGGGAAAAAACAAAAAAATATGTTCAATAGTGATAGATTCCCTTTAAGAACCAGTGGGAAAATAAGCCATATCCTTCAGCAAATGGAAGGCTTCCTCTCACTTTCTCAAAGCCCAATGGCAGAGCCTCAGAGGCTCAAAGCATTTCCAGGTAGCAGCCACGGCCAAATCGGACGCATCTCCTTTGCCATCGCTGCCAAGCTCGAAGCCGATCAAGGCCTCAAGCGACGAATTCACGTGACTCACGAGGAAAAGGCGCTGCGAACGCCAGGAAACGAAGATATGGGTGCGGTGGTCAAGAATCGGGTAGCCCCAAAATGGGTTGCCCTGGTAGATGGAAACAAGGACGATTTAACCTGCGGTCCATATCCTGGAGGTGACTAGTTTTGACCCATACCCATATGGTTCCAACAAGCCGGAGACACGCAGTTGAAGTGCTGGATTGACAACCAAACAAACTGGTCCTTCATGGCAGGTAAACCAAGTCTTTTCATGGTGGATTGCATACCCTTTAGCGATTCCGTTTTCAGCCGGTTCTGTGCCCGACTTGCAGGCCTCTCAATGAGAAATATTTACTGGGTAGCGACTCTAGCACTCCAAACTCAAAACCACATGGCGCAAAGGCTCAAGTGACAAAGATACAGCCCAGAACTCAAATGTTGCACAGAAACAAAACAAAGTAAGCAAGTAGTTAGTAAGCAGTTAGCAAGTAGTTGTAGGCATCCTGGCCGCGGCGCCCCCCTCCACTACGGGTACCTTCTGTGTGGCTGCCTATGTCCGTCTGCAAACACCCCAAAAAAAAGCGCGCAGTCCGGAATCTGGCGTGGGCTCACAGTTGTTGCCCTCATTGGCCTGATGTTGCCATGCGGGGTTGTCCAAATTGCGAAGAAGTGGCAACTTGTTTGTGGGACCCCCTGCATTGGGGAGCCCACGTCGCATGCTGTGCTGAGACCAAGGCATCGTCCTTGGCATCCGTGGCAGTGATCACGACAGCTCCAGCGCCATCACCAAAGAGGACGCTGGTGCCGCGGTCGGACCAATCCACCCAGCGAGACAGACCTCCGGGAGCCGGGCTGGGGGCTCTCTGAATCTGTCCCACGCCTGAGGAAGAGACTCAACAGTTGAATATGATAGCAAAAAAATATGGGTCATTGTCCCAGGTGCAGCGCGACATCAAAATCAGGACACATCCGACCAAACTTGTTTATATTTCACAGTAGGCCAGTAATTAACCTGCTCAGCAAAACCTGGCAAACGGGACACCCGCCAAAAACTGTTTCGAGCACAGTGTACTCTTGAAACACCCGTGATGATATATGAGTAAGACTATATGGCCATGGGTCAAAATTCCGTACCCCCAGTGAACATCCCAATCCCCACTAAAATAGGTTCTAGGATGGGTGGTGAGTTCACCTACTGTACCAACCAAAATGGGATCCCAAAACGGTTTTGACCCACAGCCATATATCTGCCCTATCCCTCGGGATGCTCTGCTCTGAGCCCACTAGGCTTCCGGCAGTCTGCTCCGACGATCACCACAGATTTGAAGGCTCCCGAACCTCGCGGGTTGGATTTGTGCAGAAGAGCAATCTTTGATGCACATTGCACGCAGGCAGGGAAAGCCGGTGGCCTTGTATGCTGTCACACGTTGCCATCATACGTTGACTTGCGCTTTGCAGGGCATCCAACGTGATCAAGTAGCGCAAGCGTGCTGAATTGATTGTGTAGCGCTCGAGTGCAAGGAAGCGAGATCTCTACGCAAATCCATGGAAATTGCATGCACACGTGGAAATTGCATGCACACGTGTAATGCGCCGTTACATTGGTGCAGTACTTGGTCACATGTCACTCGCACGAGGGGGCAAGTCCAGTTGTGCCATTCACGCAACACTGCTTTGGGCCTTGAAAACAACACTGTAGCCAATGCTGCATGCATCTGCCCTTCCGCTCACCTCATGGCCTTTTTGGTTCTGATTTGTCAATGGCTGGCAACGTTCGAAGATAGGAAAAGACTCAGGTCTTCCACAGTCTCACTCAGAAGAAACACCAGCAAAGACCAAGCAGTGCTCAAGACTCGGTCAGCTGACTCACCTGGACTTCCCCAAATTCCAACCCCAAGCGTGACGATTGTTTCTGTGCAAAGGCGCAATCGAAGTCCCATGGCTCAGCGCCCGGGCGGACGTACTGCGAGGCCGTCACCAGGGCGAAAACAAAGCCTCGGCGAGATCGCGACGCGATCGCGCCTTCTGGAAACCTAACACGGAAGCGCAAAGCATCTTGAGCATCGCAACTCTGGACATGGAAGTTCCCTTTCACTAACGAAAGGCACCTTGGTCTCTGAAGCCGGGGATGGCACATCATGTTGCTCAGAGTCAATCACAAGCAGGACCCAAACAAACAGTTGATGTTCAAAAGTTGCTTGCAAGAGCATACTCAAGACAAACGGAGTCCAGGCAAGGACGGCTCATTGTCTTCAAATCAAGCAATAGCCGACGACATCCACTGGTGATTCAAGAGCAACCAAAGTAACGTCAGCATGACTGCAAAGCGCTTGCTGAATCCCGCACGCAAAGCAGAGTAGGCTCTTCTGACTAGGGTTGGTACTGTGTTTGAAACAAACTCACTTGCAACTGGACACTGTTTCTTGTTTTTGCGAGAAGCACTGTGCTGAAGCCAAGGGGAAAGAACCAGTGCGATTGCTGAATCTTGGCAAGCTAAGGAGGAAAGGGCAAGCGTGTGATTGCACGCTTTGAGCGCGAACTTGAAGAACGCTCTTTCGATCGCTTTCGTGTCCGAAGCTGGCTTCGAGCTTTGCCTTTGAGGTCTTCAACCTTCGCCTTTGAAAGCTGTTGAAGTTTGACCTTGAAAGTCTTTGAAGTCCTTGAAAGCTGCACGAACAGCACGTTTCCGGACGATTTGCACGGTGTTGCACGAACAGCACGATTAGCACGTTTCTGCACGAGCAGCACGTTTTGCATGAACAGCAAGTGTCTGCACGATTAGAACGTTTTTGCACGATTGGCACGTTTTGGTACGAACAGCACTTTCTGCACGGTTAGCACGTGTCTGCACGAACAGCAATGTTTCTGCACGATTGGCACAGTTTTGCTCGAACAGCACGTTTCTGAACGACTAGAACGTTTTTGCACGAACAGCACATTTTTGCACGAACAGAACGTTTTTGCACGAAAAGCACACTTTTGCACGCACACGTTTTCGGAGTAGAGCATTAGTTAGTTCATGTTTGTGCACAAAGCGTACTTTTTGCTGCTGGAAGCTGCAACAGTGCAACTCGATACTGTTTTGCTGCAGCGCTCGCAGACAATTTTTGCTTGGAACACTGATTTGCAAGGTTTTAGCAACAAATTGGCTGACCACATACATGGAAGCGTCGCTGCTTTTCTGCAGTGTTGCCAAACAAACAGCCTTGCAGTGTAGACCCTATACACGTACCTTGTCCGGACCGCACACAAATATAATAGAAAGAGAGAGAGAGAGAGAGGGTCACGGGTGCCCGGCCTGAACAAGCCGCCGTGAGGTCAAAAGCAACTGCTGATTCTGCACCGATCAGGGACGCCACCTGGCCGCAAAAAGGCAATCTGCTCATTGTGAAAGCCAGCAGCGCAGTCAACTTTTGACAAGCCTGGTACAGGTGAAGTTGCAGGCTTGCATGCTGAGATGGCACCAAATACAGGCAGGGCTCCAATGCAACCATGCAACCAGGAGGGGCATAAATCCAAAGCGCTATCTTACTATACTTCCTTGTGATGCTGCAGTGCTCCAGGTCATGTTCACCGTCACCAGACTCCCAACTATTTGTCAGCGGTCAATCCTTCAATATACCGAAAGTTGCATGTTGCTCTAACTAACCCCTGAAGCAGGAGCAACGATTGCATTGCACGGGCGGTTGCAGTATGCTTTAGGCTGTCAGGCATCTTCTTTCGGATTTTCTATCATAATATTGTGCCTGTGGCTTCTGAGGCTTTTTTTCACAACTTGAACCAGGGCTTGCTTGCACTCTATCACTCACTTGGCCCGCAGCAATGGAATGTCCATCCATCCCCTATCTGTGCTACACCATGCCCTGCATGACCTTCCTGAATTTCATCGCTTCATGCCAGGACTGTTTGCCAGCGACATTGGCAGAACTTAGATGTAGGCCGCGTGTCGCCAACTTGCATGACCCGTCAGTATCGCCCCCTCCCCCGGCCAAAAAGCAAAAGAAGCGCCTCATTCCCCCCACCACATACATGCACATGTTTTTCGCGCCTGTGGGCCAGTGCCAAAGATATCGTCCGGGGTGGAGGTGGCATGAATCACCATCCCCACGTCTTCCGGAGATATCCTGCGACGTGCGAAAAACCCCAGGCGACTGGAAATTAGAGAATTGGGGATCTTGGCACATCTAAAGCACACCAAAAGACAATGTGCTCTGACTCTGTTCCATATGTAGTCTACCCTAAATATATATATATATAATTTGTTTGGAGGGGACTCCACGGCTCTGGTCCATACTTGTCCGGTTTAGCGGCTTCCAGGTGGCATGTCACAACCAGCTGCATCAATGAAGCGAGATACTGAAAAGCATATGAGCAGGAGCAACAGTGTATTCATCTGCAGGCAAGGCTCTTGGCATCTTCTAGTGCTTTCGTTGCAGCCTTTGCTGACAACGACCTGGCAAGTGCGGCTCAGCCTGGAATCCCATCACCCCAACCCCAGGTACTGACCAGCACTCAATACAGGAGATTTGTCAGGCATGGTTGCACAGAAATCTGCTGCTTGCCAAAGTCCAGTCTCTGAGAAATCAAAATGTTGCGTAGACATGCATTTATCACGATGCTCATGCATCGATGTGCGGTGCATGTCATACTGCCCACATCACGCACAAAATCGAGGCACAATTTCACAGCCTTCCTTCAAATATAGCCGGCTTCACGCTAGGCTCTCCTCAGGGCGAAGCACATGTCGCCGTCGGATGCCGGTGCGTTGCGAGATCCACTCATCGTTCGTTTCCATGATCTCGGAAAGATCATCGTTGGAGACCTCACAGCAGGCTCTGCTCTGCACCCAGACTTTCTTGACAAACGCTTGATGTGGCACCCGCCAAACATAGCAGCACCATTGCAAATGACGGGTTGAAATATTTGGGCATGATCAGTCTTCATGTATTAAGTTTGATAAAGCAGCACTTGGGGCATGTTCTATTGTCAGTGTATCCGTCCCCCCTTAAAGTCCTCATCTATGTTTCTGAATGGGATCATGCCAGGCAACCTTGGAACAATCCAAATTGCAGAGACCAACGAACACTCACCATTTTGGGGCTCCCGTAACATGTGAATTTGTGTTTTTGTGCGGGCGTTCTTTTCAGCTTGGTTCAAACAAAAACCAAAAAGGCCCCCCTAGTTTGACACATGTGTGTGCACGTTTTCTCAGGGTAGCCATTTCACCTTAGTTTCAATCCAAAAGGACAGCCATGTTGGGTCCCTGTGGGGCGCATGCCCATTTTTGTGGTTTGCAAATTGGGAAACCAATTGGAAACCAATCCCTCGCTGACAAACGGATACTGTACTTCACTGACACTGACACATCCAGACATCCATCAAGGCTTCCTATACTTCCTCTTCAAACATCACCCCCACCAGGGGACACTCACCTTTCATGGGCCAAACAGGTGATATCTGTAAAACCACCAAAAAGGGAAACATAGCTACGTAGATAGGGATCGACCTCTGTCCATGATATTTCGCTTGGGGCGGATTGTTCCGGGGCTCCGGGCCACCGTCTCCGGTGCTGCCGAGCCCGTGCCGACCACGGAAATGCCGAAGGGCAGTGCCCGCAGCTTCGACCGTCGCCGGGTGGACGAAGCACCCAACACCAACGCCAGGCCTGCGAGTCGGGAGCGGGACAAACGGAGCCACCTCCGTATGCGCGCGGCTCGTCTTTTGAGGGTACCCCTTTGTGCTTGGGTTTTAGAGGAATTAGAGGGAGACCACCATAGAACACCCATTTTGGGGCAGCTCCGTTTTTGAGACAAAGCCATATTTGGTTTGCCTAGGGCCTTGTAAGGGACAATGGGGATTTGTTAGTTTCAGGTACGGTCAGAGTTGTCACTGTTTGTAGTGATGACACGTCTTATTCAAAGGCTTACAGAAGCCATGAGTATAGTACATGTCAGAAGCCAGGTAGTCAGCATTTCCAGAAGACCGAATCTGACAAGTGCCACAACATCCAAGCTGGGTGATTTTGCCAGAGCGTCAGTGGCAAATGCACCTTCCCATCCCTTTCATGGTATGTGTCAAAAAAGGAGCCAAACAAAGTTTGATTTTCCTTTTGTTTTCCCTTCAAACCAACCCGCACAAAAACAGGCACACCCATGGGGGGGTCCACAAAGGGTACTCAAAAATCGCACATCCAAGCTGCGTGCTTCACCTTCCATCATCCCTTTCATTTGGGCACGTGTCAAGATAGGAGCCCCCCAAAAGATGTGGAATAATATGGCCATGGGTTAAATTCCCGTACGTGAACATCCCAATTTCCCCAATATAGCTTCTAAAATGGGTTGTGAATCCACCTACCCCAAAATGGGATCCCAAAACGGTTTTGACAACCACAGCCATCTTCGTCTCTGCTCGCGCGCCTGCCAACGCTGCTGCCCGCGGCTTTGGCTCGCCGCGGCCCGGCGCCGAAGGCGCCGAGCGTGCCGAGCGCCACTCGCGTGCGCCGGGCGCTCGCTCTGCCGGGAGGAGGAAAGCCTCGATGGGTTGGACATGGGGGCTGGGGGGGGGAGGGGAGGGGAGAGGGAGCCCAAATAAGGCCGTATTAAGCCCCTGATAAGGCCTTATTGCTCCCTCATGACCTGATCGATTTGGGACCCTGGAAAGCCCGCGAATCACGGCAGCGACGGCGCCCGGGCCTGCGCTGCAAGGCCGCCGCTCAGCAGGGCGAGGACGGCAGAGCGCCGGCCCTGGCATCGACTGGAAGGCGGCCAGTGGTCCATGACAAGTCAAACATCAGTGACAATGGACGGGCCAAGCTTTGCAACGCAACAATACACAAGCTTTTCCCCCGCATTGGCATGTGAAAAATCACTAAAACAATGGCGCATAGACGATTCGATACGCATGGGTGTGTCTTTTGAGGGTGCCCCCCCTTTTGTGAGTGTTGAAGGGAACCAAAAGGAAAACCATCATTTTGGGGGTCCCCCGAAAAAAGAAAAAAAAAGGACACACCCACACTCCGAAACAATGAGACACCCAACAACCCATCCCGCCTGAGGCGCTGCTTGTTCCATTTGCGCCTATGTGCGAACCCGACTCCGACTGTTTGGGGGTATTTGTTGGTGCGATAGGTAGGGAATGTGGGAATGAACCCAAACCGCAAAGAATGGCTTATAAGGGTCATTCCCGAATTCCCTACTGAGTACTTGAAAACCGGAAACGTACTTCGGATCTTGAGGGTAAAGAAGGACTCGTGATGCGAATAAGCCGCTGCTGGTTCCCTTGTTGCACTTAGCCAAGTCGAATGCATGCAGTGGGCATCCCAAATAAGAGTGTCAGCCCTATTGTGTGTGTGTGTGCCATAGTCAACTTACAATGTTCTGTCGCCTTAGTGTCTGATCACATTCTACAGCGTTGGCTTTGCTGAGTGCGGTATCCTCCATTGTTGTTTAAAGCTCAAAGGGAGAAGAAAGAGACCTCCAGAAACAGCCATGAACAGAGATCAACCAGCCATCAGGATGAGCTGACGCACTTACAGCGCCAGTGCCTGAGGACCAACCAAGACCCACAAATGGATTCTGACTGTACTCTGTCCTTGCGAATGGCTTGTTCCTTCTCTCAACCTCCCTCTGGCAACAAGGTCAATCACTCCCAGTTGCCCTGCTGCTTGAAAACCCATCCTTTCCAAGGGACCAGGCCGCAGGGGGTACTGTGCAGGTCCACGCCATTTAACTTTGGGTTGGAGTCTTCATCAGGCGGCAAAACAAGCGAGGTGCGTCTGGGGTCTTGCCTGGCAATGGTTCCCGCCCACCATTGCTCGCGCCTTCCCCTGCAGAGTAACTGGAGCCGAAAAGGGAAAGAGGCATCAGCTACACATGCCGGTTGTCCCTCACTGAAAGCATTTCTCCAAGTCAGTCATCGGCGTGAAAAGCAAAAGGCAGCGCCAAGCTCAAGCAACAACATCAGCAACCATTTCAAGCATGGATTTGAAGCAGCCCCGGCTACTTGCACTCGCCCGAATGCCTAGCTTGGGTGGAAAGGCCAAGGGGATGACTCGCTCATGATGCTCTCTCTTGGGTGCTCGTCATTGAAATGATTGCTAGTCCAATCACCTCATACTTGTATTCAAGGGACCAAAGTGAGCTGCATGCCTTTTCAGCCTTTCGCAGACCTAGGCCCATCTTGCATAGGCCACCCTTCTGAGAAGGGAAGCCACAGTGAAACCAGCGGGAGCCTCGGCATGGCAAGCGACGAACCTACGGACCTATGCACAGGCCCCTTCGCCTGTCCAGCGAGGCTTATGTAGCTGCGTCCTAAAACATGATCAGAACTGCGCAGCAGCAATCCAGAGGTCTCACTATGCTACCAGCCCCGCTTCAACTTCTCAACTCTTGAGTCCAGGGCGGATCAAACCAAACAGCATGCGCAGCTTCCATTCAATAGAGATGCGGAGGCATTGTGCAGGAAATGCTTGCAAAAGGTGCATGCGTGGACCAGCTTCACGCTGTCTCATCAAAAACTCGAACTCGTTGATTGGCGCATCCCTCGTTGCAATCTTAACTGCCAGGATTGACATGCCGAACACGTCAAAAAGGGGGCCCTTATTTTCGCTTGTTGTCGCAGAATTACCGACTATTGCGCTCTGCCAAACGACTCAGACCCCGCTCAAACAGTCTGAAGGCCGCTTTGCCCACCCCCTGACGCCAAAGAACTTGCAGGCAAAAACAATGCGGGATACATTCCCATTTCACGGGTCTGTGCGGAATATATCCTCAGACGGACAAGCAAAACAACATGAAACCACTTACCAGGTCTGACAGCACAGCCTGCATCGGATACAAAACAGCTACTGGCGTCCGTTGCAAAGAAGATGGCGTGTCGGTTCCTGGGAGTAGCCTGCCTTGTGTTGATACACGTGGACTTCAGGGAATGACGCAAGCCCAAGCGTTATGTCAAGAACTGTGCGTCGTTTTAAGCAAGTTGTTTGAGGCACTCGAATTTGGCAAGTTCTTTAAGTTCTTTGAGGCAAGCCACCACACACAGGAAGCCGTTATTTTTTTTCCCGAGGGGGGCAGCTCTCAGGAAGTTTGCTTGGCGAGTTTGCGGAAAGCCAACGCGGAGTTGAAGCCTTATGCTTTTGAGGGGACCTCAGGGGAGGCACCAGACTTTCATGAATGATTCGGTGCCGTCCACGGCGAGGCAATCTGCCCTCCAAACACCTGAGATGGTAGACCACTGGATGAACTGGCAACGGGTGATTGTATTTTCTGAGGGACCCTTTTTGGGGGTTGAAAGGCAAACCCAAAGGAAAGCCCACCAGTTTGGAGGTCCCCGTATGTTCCGGCGCATTCCCCCAAAAAGACTCCACCAGGGCCAGCACTTCTTGGCCCTTTTGTGCGGAGGGGGGGGGGTATCAAAGCCCTCGAGCGATTGCGCGGCGTCTCGAGGGCCTCCGAGGGCTCGGCTCAGTTCACTTGCCGCTGCACTGCGAGGCCAAGAGAGGCCAGCTCTGCCTCGTAGGCTTTCGCCTGCAAGACAGACTTGCGAGCTGCCATAGACATCGGTGAAGGTGAAATGGAACGAACCCAGGCTGTCGAATAAAGGAAAAGTAGGGAAGGTGCTTGAATGAACCCAGAAATCCAAAAAAGAAATCCCCTTAAAGGATCTTGAAGGAAACCACGAGTGGGATGGTATATTTACCCTCGTGCGCTGAGCACCAGCAAGAAGATGCACCAGTTCTTCCCGGAAGGTGCAGCCCGTTTTGCTTGGGGGTGGCTCCTTCCGCACGGGCAACTGGCCAAGGTCTGTTGGGTTCGACAAGACCGGCACTGCTCTGACTTTGGCCTTCGCCCGTCTGGCTGTCGTGAAATCATTTTGCTTGATGTTGGAACGTTCTTGTCCCACATTGTGCATCTGGCATGGTGGATATACTGTCAAACTTCAATTTGCTGGCTCGCCTTATGCCCTCCGCTCAAGGTTGTGCAAGCAATGCTGGTTTGCTGTTCATCCCTTCGGCGAGCTTGCGCTCGAGCCACCCATCTGGGCAAGTGCCTCTGTCTCATAGAGGACCCGGAGTCTAGTTCGTCTCCTGCAACCGGCCACGGTACGCGTTTCACGTACATCCCTCCATAGCTGTTTCGTCAACCTTATAGCTGTTCCCTGACAAGCTCGTAAGCAATGCTCAATGCTAGACATTATGTCATCACACTTGAGACATGTTGGAGATTCTTGGGCATCTCCCATCACGTACCTCGCAGGCTTTGGTCACGAGTTCTGAGTCAAGTCCTAAACGGTGCCTGGAACCGGATCGGCTACGCAAGTTCCATGGGACATCGTGGAGATGGAGGCTGCAACTGGCAGGATGTTCCTTTTACCAAAGCCTTTGCCTCTGAACACTCCTCGAGTTCTTGACCAAGTGTTCAATTTCAGCATGGTGCTCCCGGCTCCTGATCTTCAGCTCCTCATTGCAAGCTTCCATCTCCTCGCACTGCCATCCGCTCGCTTGTCTGTACTGACAGCTGGGCATGAGTTTCAGTTGGGGACCCTTTGGTGTACATCACTTGGGTGGAAGCTCATGTTCACCAACCACTCTTGAGGTGGTTCCCCAGTAATCGCAAAGCATGCCCAGTTGTATTTACAGATACGTAGGGAAGTGGAAAAGAAGTGTCTTTGTGGGGCAATTGACGTAGACTGGGCTATCAGCCCAATGTGATATAGCAGTCATTGGAAGTAATTGTGTACTGTAACTATGTTCACTTGTCTACTTCCGTTTTGTGTATTGTGGCTAGCGCCTGCGGCTGAAATGAGATCAAGGCGAGCAATTGCACATGACAAAGATGCTACAAAGGCACCACTGCAAGAAGACATGTGCTGCACTTTGCATCTGTTGCTTTGCATCTGTTGCTTTGCATTGGTGCTGCGAAGCCCACGCAATCTAGCCAAACGAAAACGCCTCTCCGAGCCCACTTTCGAAAAGAAAAAAGAAAAAAAACCTTCGCAATGACTTGGCGACCAGCGTTTTCACGACCCCATGTTTGATTTTACCGGGTATAGTCTTTTGAAGGCTTACATGTATAGCGCTTTCGTTATACGCTGTGCTCTTTGTTCGAGCAAACACTGCATGCTGACACGTGAATGCACAAAGTGGATGACATCGAAAGAACAACATCTCTGAGAGCTGAATATCGTGGCCGCATGAGCATAGGCTCGTCAAGATGTAGCGTGGGGCTATTGTGCAGCCTAGTGTCTTCTGATCTTGCAAACGTGTGTGTGTGTGTGTTCGATTTGTTGATTGTTTTTGTGAGTTTGAATGTGGCGTGTGTGTGTGTGTGCAATGTGTGTGCGTGTTGTGTGCGTGTTGTGCGCTTCTGTGTGTGTGGTTGTGCGTTTGTGTGCTTGCGTGTGTGTGGTGCTTGTATGGCTGTGTATTCGTATGTGAAAATCCGCATTTGTACCACCATTTTGGGGCGGGCTCCTCAGAAAACACAGACCAATTTGGGACCACTACAGATGAGTCATAATCAAAACCCGGTATTGAAATGGTCTACCCAGAACCATGTAAAGAAATAAGAAGGCGGCCGCAGCTATTTATGGCAAGGGGATTGTCCCTTACGAACCTTCATCAAACCGGGTTTTGATTGTGGCTCAGATGGCGTGTTGAAACGGGTAATTACAAAAAAACTCCGAAGTCACCCCAACTTCTTGCCAGCAATACTTCGCGCATGGAACTCAGCACACACCAGAGAAAGTCACACCAAAAAGGATACCCGGAAAGGGCACCCGCAGAAAACACAGCAAATGGGTCTTTAAACGGGTACCCTTTTTGGGGCCTCCAAAAATGACCCAACAAATATGTATATCTATATAGGTATACAGCTTATTTGCATTTATTTAAAAAAAAAAAAATAAAAAAAAAAGGAAGGAACAAAGGGAGAGGTCCTGCTTGATGAACTCGGAGCTTCGCTTCTCGGTCTCCGCAAAGTCGAACTTCTGCTTGCCCTGACACTCGGGGGATGCACCGCTCAGTCCTTGCATTTGGCTGTGGGTCAAAAATATGTACCCAAAATGGAATCCTGGTAAATGGAATCCTGGCAAATGCAGGGTTGGTTATAAACTCGTGCATAAGACTCGTGCAGACTTTCGCTCGGTCATTTGGGTCAGTGGATACTGCTTAGGTAGAGCCACGCGTGTCGTCTACCTTGGGCATCTCGAGCCAAAGCTGTGGCGCCTCAAACCAGTGGGTGACCTGGGACACCGCGGCCATCTTGGACGCGTAATCCGCTGCTGCCGCATACTGATTGTCCTGTCGCAAAAACCGGCCATTGGCACCCCACATGCTGGGAAAAGCGACAACACCAGCTAGTCCAAGGAGATGACATGCAGTCCAACCATTCCCTTACTGCTTCACAGGCATGCCAAATCATGATCAAATACGCGAGCGATCTCAAGACGTTGCAAGCAGTTTCACACTTGCAAATGCCATGCCGCAAGTCATGTCTGAAAGCTTGACCTCTGCAACTCTGCAGCTTGCAGGAACCCCTGCAGTCCGCTTGAATACGCTTCTGGATCAGAAAGTCAGGCCTCTGCACGCGGCATGACAACCCCACGACCCCACGAGCACTTTGGGTTCTGGAATAGCTAACGCGTTCTAACGCCTGACAAGGCAGTGTTCATTCAAAATTGTCAAATTCACAGATCACCCTCAGTTGCTCTCTTTGCTCAAGTCATAGCTGTTAGCTGTGGTCGACAGAAAAGCATGTACTATCTACTGTTTGTTGCCAAAATCCTGAGTTGTGTACCGTGAAGACTGTGCGCTCAAGAAAGATACACATATGCACAAAGTGTTTCCCCGCTTCATGCTACAAAGCATGCTCAACTCCGCTCACAAGTGCCGGCAACGCCGGACTTGCGGGGTTGCAACTCTTTGCAACCATGTTTCTTCCACGCTGCCCTTTGACGTTGCAACAAAGGCCCATTTGCTGTGCCCTAAAATCTGAAATGGCTCTTTCTTCATTGCGCGGCCGTACCCTCGTTCCGGTTCCGCGCCTCATCTTCGGCATGATGCTGCCCACCGCCAGCACGAGAAATGCTGGCCTGGCGTCAGTCCAATCTGGCCCATTTTGCTGCGGCGCAGCGCCAACTGAAAAATCCTGGTGGAAACGCAGAACTCAAGTTTGATGGGGCCCCCGAACAGCATGCCCCGCGTGCGATGGTGCGTCAAACCGAAGTACTCACGTCGCGTTTTGCAAGCACTGCAGTCAGGCATAGTCAGGCCCCTGCCGAGCCGGAGGCCCTTGCACCTCTCTCTGCAGCTAGCTGAGCCGAGAGAATGGCAGGCTTGGTAGCGGGGCACTGTTTCTGTGTTCTGCTAGCGCTGCTAAGTCAAGATGCAGGGTTGATCCTGCCAGTTCATTGCCCAAAGGCCCAAAAAGGGGGAAGAAAAAAAAGCTCCAACCAGAACGCTCAGCCCCCGTCCATCATATCCTCCGGCAGTCGGATCCTTTTTCTTCTTTGGCTGCTTGATCAGCGATGGCCTTCACGGCCGATGCCCGACGAAGGTCCGGCCCTCGCTCGAGCTCGGGGGAGAGATCCCAAACCGCCCTACGTCCTTCGAATTGAAAGACGTCAGGCGGCCAAGGGCTGAGATCAACCAGTCGCATCAGACTGTCACCTGATACCTGATCCGTTTCTCGCTGACGATCAAGAGGCAGCTGAAGCCGGGCGACAGATTCCCCGCCAGCTGCCTCTCAATTGTCTCGGCTCTCTCCCCGGATCCGATCCGCCGTCCAAAGGCGTGCTTGGTGCGTGGTGAAACGCTTGGCCATTTATAACTGGGCTGCCCGCTTTTCAGATCCCCCGCGAAAAGTGAGAAACTGGTGGGTTACATCCGGAAACTACCACTAAACACTAAACAAAAAGGGCTGAAAAGCTAAGGGGATGTCTGGGAGCCGCGAAGATAAGTCTGTTACACCGAGCTCCCACCAGGCCAACGGCTGTGGCTCCAGCGTTGCCAGCTCCCACTTTGGCCCAAAGCCCGGGGCTGCTTTGAAACGGCAGCTCTACACCGGAGAAAGCCACGTCAAAGGGGCTGAATGAAACCAACAGCTCATTTATCTTTCTGCAACCGGGCGAGAGGCAGGAGCCACGCTTCTCTGTTTTGTTTTCTCTCACGCTCTCACAGCGAATTACACCATATCCTCCGGGTCGTTGTCTAGCAGCGGCTCGTCGTCAACGTCGATGTCAACAACCTACAAGTTGTGTTTATTTTCTTTTGTTCAGGGATACGCATTAAACCACTCCTTGCAAGCAAGCCTCTCCTCACGCAAAGCGGCTTCGGACGTGGTTACTTCATACGTTGAGCTCACTGTTAGCAAGCGCAGCACAAGAGGCATCATTGCAGAATGTCAATTGCAGGCTAATGATAGCAAAGGCAGCGTGTCAACAAGCAACATGGTAGGGAAGAAAGCTAGTTTGGTCGAATGTTTCACTTCACACTTAAAGAAGTGCTCTCATGCAACAGAAAATGCACACACACACACACGCACACGCACACGCACACGCACACGCAGACACACACACACACACACACACACACACACACACACACACACACACACACACACACACACACACACACACACACACACACACACACACACACACGCACGCACACACACACACACACACACACACACACACACGCACACACACACACAAACAAACACAAACACAAACACAAACACAAACACAAACACACACACACACACACACACACACACACACACACACACACACACACACCCACACGCACACGCACACGCACACGCACACGCACACGCACACGCGCACACCCGCGCGCGCAAACGCGCGCGCACGCGCGCGCGCACGCGCACACGCGCACACGCGCACACGCGCACACACACGCAAACAAAGACACATAACCACAAAACCGCAAACAAAAGTAAACACACAAGCGCGCACACACACACACACACACACGCAACTCAAGCTGGCACCGGCCCTGCAGAATGTGTCTCTTGGGCTCAAGGATGTTCAAGTACAAAATCGGCCTGTCTGCTCCGAACGCATTGCACCAGCAAGCAAATGCCATAGGTCGAGAACACAAAGATGCCAAAGAACAGGAATCCTATCACCTCAGAAAAAAAAGCTCGCATGGTGCACAACGACATGCTTGAATACCAGCTAGTTTGGACTGATGCTCAAAATGGCAAACGGTGAATTAAAGGTGTGTTTTTGGAGAAGTCTGTGGGGACTCCCCGAATACGCAAAGCCAGCAAAACGCTTGCTAAGGCGTAATGAGCGACTTGCGAATAAATGAGAAACCGTTTGGGCTTCTCTGATGTGGAAACCCGCAGGCCTAAAAACCGCTTCATCGTTGTTTTACAAGCACACGGTATCTGTCGAGGAAAGGTCGTGAGCTCTGCTCGACTCAATGAACATGCAATCTACCCTCCCCAACCCGAGTGGACAGCCAGAAACTCGTCGTCCGAACATGGACATCTGCACGAACCATTTCCAAAGGCACCATCGTGTTCAAAACCAAGAGCCCCGGTCAGGCGAGTGTTGTTCTGTTGGTCTCTCCTATCCATGGATCTGGATTTTCTGAAACGCACAGTCAGCTTAGTGCTTCCAATTCGCCTCCGGAATTACTCTGGCTTCTTCCTCCGGTGTGTACCGGGGATTCATCCACTGATTTTTGCGCTCGAGTTCCTCGATCTGCCTGAGATCCTGCCGCAAGCAAGGGCCTTGAAACAGGAAGTTGTGCATGTGTGTGTGTGTGTATGTGTGTTTGTTTCTACGTATGTATATATGTATATTGCCTTTTATTTTATTTGTTTATTTATCTATATATGTATATATAGTGTATTTGTGTATACATCTTGTAGTTACTTCCATATCACTGCTTGGGCCACCAATCACGTAATCGCTCGGCTCCTTCCAAGGATCCTCTTCTGTGGGCCGATCCCACTCGGCGCAGAAGTTTGCGGTGTCGGGACCTCTCGCAGGCAACACGCAGCTTCAAGGCCGAGCCGTAGGAGTCGTAGGAGCCAATGGATCGAATGGCAATACAAGGGAAGTGTTTAGGCGTTTCCTTGAATTGGTTGGACCCTCAGACTGTTTTATGTTTCTTGTTTTTCTTTGTCAATACAAGGAAGGAACTGGCGTTTCCTTGAATTGGTTGGACCCTCAAACTGTTTTTTTAATCCTTATCTCCATTTCGAAATAGGCGCAGGTGTCCAATTTCCCTACCAAACTCCATCCATCGCCGTGCCCATTGCCTTCATGATATCGCAAAGCATCATGCACATACACTGTCAGGTTCGATGAGCTTCCTGCGGGACTTGGCATGTCGTTGGTTGTATGTGGGGGTTGATCAACAATTATTCTTGGCCCAATGCCTATAACTTTCAGTGGTTGACATGTCATCTTTGAAGTGGTTTCCAACCCATGATCATCCCATGTATCAACCCCCTCCCATGGACCCTTTGATCAAACCCCCCTGGGAAACAGCCAAGGCATGGAGTTGTGCCATAGGCTGCAAACCGACGAAACGACATGCAAGCAGGTCACCTGCGATGATGTACTTGATGCAGAGGTACACCGCCTTCATGCCTATGGCCATGGGAAGTTCACTCTTGGTAGGCCCACTGTCTCTCCAAGGCTTCTTCCCAAGTCTTCGGTGAAGCGAAGCTCCACAAATAGAAATTCGTGGGCGTCCACTAGGCAAGCTGGTCAATCGTGCCTTCCGACCAAAAAAGGTCGCGGGGCGCCGCTGTCAAACAAATTGGGCTTGCTGCTGCGATAGGCGCGGAATGAGAAAATGGAATCCCCAACACCAGAAAGGCCATTCCCTACTGAGCACATGCAAGTGGATTCACACGCATAAATACACAACATCCCTGGGATGACATGACCTGACTTTCACTTCCAACATACACATTGATGACAATTCCAAGGCTCGGAACGTGTTCGAAGCTCTCAAACGTAAGCCGCTTAGCCAAGACTTGTGGCTAAGCCGCACAGCTGAGCAGGATGTTTCTCGAAGCAATTCGCCGAGTCCGAGCTGAAGCAGTAGGACGGCCCGCAGTACGGGCGGTCCGTGCTGTTGTCCTCACAGCAACATGACTGGCGAGTAATGTTGACTCCATATTAATCAACCCCAGTTTATTACCAGGGGGGTCACTCTTGGAGGGGCCCCCCGATGTCAACAAACTGGGCCTTGGGTTGATTGCATGGATGAAAGCTGTTCAAAACTACGGACCAGTTCGACGACCGCTGGGTTGACTTCTGCGAAGCTTTCACGATAACCCCTTTTTGTGCCTTCCACGGTTCCACACATGAGTTCATGCTAAGCAAGAGCAGGCAAAAAAACATTGAACAGTCTGCATGCCCCCTCCCACACAAATCGCCCAAGAAAGGTGGGTGTTCTCGAACAACAACAACAACAACAACAACAACAACAACAACAACAACAACAACAACAACAACAACAACAACAACAACAACAACAACAACAACAACAACAACAACAACAACAACAACAACAACAACAACAACAACAACAACAACAACAACAACAACAACAACAACAACAACAACAACAACAACAACAACAACAACAACAACAACAACAACAACAACAACAACAACAACAACAACAACAACAACAACAACAACAACAACAACAACAACAACAACAACAACAACAACAACAACAACAACAACAACAACAACAACAACAACAACAACAACAACAACAACAACAACAACAACAACAACAACAACAACAACAACAACAACAACAACAACAACAACTCCAGGCAAGCTTGCTCTTTCCAAAACAATATCTGTTGAGCTTTTGCAGAAACCCAATGCAGGTGGGGTCCAAGTAGTGGTGGTCTGGTGCAGCCACGGAGTCCAGGCCGGTGCGCTATCCGCTATCATTCGCCCCACCCCACCCCACCCCACCCACCCAAACAGCCGCTCACAAGAGAAACACGCGGCGTTCTACATGCCGTGCGAAACCTACTGAGTAACACTCAGGAACAGTCGATTACACTCAGAATCAAACTTGAGTATAAAATATGCCGGAGAACTGCGAAGCCTTAACGACAGTTAACAGAAAAGAGCGTGATGAAACAGAGTACTACTGAGCCTTACTAAGGCTTATTAATCAAAACTACTCAGTCTGCCTGGCCAAGCCTCAAATGCAAAGTGACCGTGCTTCAAATGTAAAGTCACCGTGTGTCTTCCTTTTGGGATTCTAGGCCACTAGGCCACTCATAGAGGGGCAGGGGGAAG